TTTCTCTTTACATGAATCTGCGATGCTAAACGCGCCGCAAATCGACTATAATGATGTCGATCTGACGACGACGAGCTGTGTTCGACGTCTCTGAAGTTATGAGCCCAACCACGACTCTGCGCTGCTGATCGCGACGGCGCGACACCATGTCCGACGACATGGACACCGACGGCAGCGCCACACAGGAGGGGCTGGCGCTTGCGGCGCGATCTTCTTCTCTTGCCACGCCGCGGAAACGAAGCAGACTCCGCTCCGGAAACAGCCAGGGAGCGCGCGGCGGTTCGGCGGATGCCCGCCCGGGAGCGGAGTACCTACTGCGATCGGATGCCGAGAACCTCGCCGCGGCGACGGCCAAGGGGTTCCGCTACACGCAGCGGGAGCACGAGTTCACCCGCGGACGCGTCGACGCGTTTGTGGGAAAGCAGACGGAGGAAACCGCGGCGCAGCGACGGACGCTGTCGGAAACGCGGGAAGCCATCGACGCCTACGTGGACGAGACGCATCAGGAGCTGCGCGGCAAGTTCACCGCTTTGGAGGCGGAGAATAGCAGGCTGCGACAACAGGGGGACCAGCTGCAGCAACAGATGCAGGGCATGGCTTTTACGCTGGAACAGCAACGGGCCGCGGCGGCTGCGAGCGCCGCGGAACAGCAGGGGAAGATGGATCAAATGTTGCTCATGATGCAAACAATGATGAGCAAAACAACAGCAGCACCGCAACAATCCGCGGGTGCGACGACGACGGGGAAACGGGTTCCGGCGGTGGTCCACTTCGACATTTCCGACTCCGGCGGGGCAGCAGCTTCGTCTTCTTCTGCCGAAGCGGCAACCACTTCTTCTCCACCGTGCGGGACGGGGGTTCCACGGCCGATCACTTTTCCGGCACGTTCGCCGGAGGAGCGGCTTCATGCGGCGGTCCGGGTGACCAAGCGGTTTGCTTTGGACAAGCGGAGCACCTTCGGGAGCGACTGGAAGGAGCTGCAGGAGGAGCTACACACGCACGGGGTGAAGAAGAAGAGCACGGAGTGGGAGCAGCTTGCGGGGCTCCTGACGGGTTTGGCGAAGGAAAAATACGAAACAGTGCAGCGGAAGCACAAGCCGCGGACCGAGGGCGACTTTGCGAAATGCCTGCAGGAGCTGCTGCAGGAGATCGCCCGGGCAACGGGCGTGAACGTAGGAACCGGGTCGGCTTCCTGCTACCACCGCTGCGCTTCCTTGCTGGAGCAGTACGCCGGCAAGTGGGCGAAGAGTTTCCCGGCGGTGATGTTCGTCGAGGCGAAGGTGGCGAACATCATCGAAGACAGCTCCGAGCGGGGCGACATCGGCTTCGACTTGGACTGTAGTCGGAACCAGCGGGGGGAGATGGAGGGTTTTTTCAAGCTCCTGGAGGACTGGGTGGGGGCGGATGGCTCCTTGTGGCTTTCGCAGAATGTGGACGACGCCTCCACAATGCGCCAGTGGCTTAAGCAGCTGAACGAATACGCCAAGAAGGTCCTCCTGAAGCCGTTGACGCCAGCGCAGCAAGACACAGAGGTGGACAAGTTCCACAAGTTTCAGGAGTCGCTGCGGCAGGGCGCCGGGACACAGGCGGGCGGGGTGGTCGGGCAGCAGTCCTACAACCTGGCCCCCGGGCCAACGACGACCTCCAATCCCAACCCGGAGATTTGCGGTTGGTGCGGATGCTCCCACCCGGAGCTACCGAGCCACAAGTGCGTCTACGGCCCGCAGAACGAGTACGGCGCCAGCAGCTACGCACAGCAAATTATCCGGAAGAAGCAGCTGAAACTCGACGAAGGCAATGCCTTCCTGCGGAAGACGCACCTCGGGGGACGAGCCCCGAGCACCACAGCGGGAAAAGGACAAGGCAGCGGCGGCGGAGCAGGCGCCAAGGGCTCGCGGCTGGACTCGGGATGGGTTTGCGAAATCTGTAACACGAAGAATTTTCCGGACCGACAGGACTGCTACGGCTGCGCAAGGGCGGCGAAAGGGAAAAAGATAAGTACGGGCGGGAAGAACGGATTCGGCGGGAAGGGCGGCACGGGATACAACGTGCTGGATTCCCAAACCCCCGGCGCGGAGCAGGCCACTTTGAATGACCTCGGTGCGATGCTGCAGTCGCTGCTGCAGACCTCAGCAACGAGCGCACCGACGGCGGGAGCGCAGACAGCGATGGGGCCGGCATTGCAGCAGCAGCTGCCGAACGGGGGAGCACAGATTCCGAACGGGGGAGCGACGTTTTGCCAGCTCGGGCAGAACGTGCTGTCGGCGACGAACAGGCAGGCGGCTGGAGCGAACCAGCCGGGGTACAACCGGCTGCAGCCGACCACGACGCATCCTTCCTTCCCGCCGCTCGGTAGCACGCAGCCACAGATCCCACCGCCGCCACCGGTTTTTCAGCAGTCCACGGCCAGCCTCAACCCGAATATTCCGCACTACGGCCTGAACGGCAAGACCAACGGCTTCCACTTTTTCGGACATGCAGGACCGGCGCGGTACGCGGACGGGGGAGAGGACAAGGAGAACTACTCGACGCTCCTGGACCACGTCCTGAGCGACTGCGAGGCGATCCAGTGGCACGACTTGGAATAATTAGATAAACAGCATGACAAATTCGCCTTCTACTTGAAAACGGCAACCAACACGGGACGCCTTCTTACGACCTAAGTCCATCGATTTTGTTTCAGAATAACTACCAAAATTCGAAGAAAAACAGCAAAAACCAGGAAAAACTAGCAAAGACATGCGAGCAGATGCACAATTTCTAGGCGTAAACGGCTCACGGCTTCGAAACGCAGAAGCGGACAAACAGCAGACAAGCAGCATTACAAATTCCGATACTACCAGACCTACACTACAAAAAGTTCTTCACTTCGTTTCGCTTTCTTCTCCGCGACAAGGGCGGAAACAGCTTTCCAAGAACGACCGCTACCAGCTCGAAGGAACAGTTTTGACGCACGACGGGGAAACAGTAAAATTTTTTTCACGGTCGACTTTTCGGGGGAAAAGCGACATCAAACGAACAACAGCTTCGGGGGAAAGCGGGAACAACTTCGGGGCAACAACATCCGAAACGACCAGCAAGGGTTGATCGCCGTCTGGAGTTTCGGAACAAGCTGCACGACCCGGCGAAGGGCGGCAGCTTCTACACGGGGTTCGGGGGAACCGCAAGCGCGTATTTGGATTTTGGAAGCGGCAAATGCACAACGTCTTCACAGCTTCACCATCTTCCCTTCCGACTACGCGGCCACTTCTTTCGAAAATCCGCGGAGAAACGGCTCCTGCAGATTTCCGAGGGGGAGTCCGTGATATTGTAGAAATCCAGCCACAGCACGCACAACAATCCAGCAAACCGGTCACCTGTTCAGCCTTTCGCCGTTGAAGCACTTCGCAGGGACTTGAGGGAATTCGGGCCGTGGGAGGGTTTTGGTGATGAGGAAGCTGAGGGAGACAGCACAGGCACTATTCGTGAACTCTAGTACACATTTCGAATGCACTTTTGAGCTGTGTGGTGCGATTCCCATGCGGTTTCGCGATGCTTTCTTGCGACTTTGATGGTGACTCTCATCGATAGGTGAGAGCTCGGGGGAGCTCTTTTGTTCTTTCTCTTTACATGAATCTGCGATGCTAAACGCGCCGCAAATCGACTATAATGATGTCGATCTGACGACGACGAGCTGTGTTCGACGTCTCTGAA